ATTTCCAGAGGCTTGGAAACATTCCAACGTAATACCTTTAGCTAAAGTTACCAATCCTACGGACGTTAACCAATTTAGACCTATTAGTATTTTGTCTTTGTTATCTAAGGTGCTGGAAAAGATAGTGGCTGAACAGTTCACAGAGTATTTAAATAGCAATAAATTACTACCACCTCATCAATCGGGTTATCGAAGGGATTCAGTACGACTACGGCATTGCTTAAGCTCTCAGACGATATTTATTGTTCAAATGACAAAAACTTGGCTACTTGTCTGGTCTTATTAGACTTCAGCAAGGCGTTAGACAGTGTGGACTTTGATCTTCTCTGCGCTAAGCTTTCGTATTTTGGAGTATCAAAATCAGCAGTGACTTTTTTCAATAATTAGTTCAAAGGTCGATATCAGAGGGTTGTCATAGGAAACACTCACTCAGGTTACTTGGAAATTACTAAAGGGGTCCCTCAGGGTAGTGTTTTTTGGCCCGCTACTTTATACACTGTATACTGCCGATTTTCATAACTTTATTAAATATTGCTCCATTCTTACTTTCGCGGACGATTCACAAATATATATTTCGTTTAAACCTGAACAAGCTCAAATCACGGCTCTAAATATAAATGAAGACTTATTTTCTATTAAGGAAGTTAGTTATTCTCATTTACTGTCACTCAATAACAATAAATCTGAAGTTGTTCTATTTGGCAAAGAGAGAACGAGTATAGCCAGTGATCCAAATTTTCGTATTAGTATAAATAGTAATATTTTAAAAATAAATACAGTATGCAAAAATTTAGGACTGGATCGATAATGATTTACGTTTTTTTACCCATGTTAACCACTTAGTTAAAACTTGTTTCTACATTCTTAAACATTTGTACATGCATAAATTATATTTGGATACTGAGGTAAAATTAAAATTAACTGAAAGTCTAATTTTAAGCCGTATTGCATATTGTAATGTTGTTTACTGGCCCGCACTTTCTCAAACAAATAAAAACTCATTACAAAAAATACAAAATTACTGTTTGAGATTTGCTTATAATTTAAAGAAAATATGATCATGTGTCTGATAAGTTTAGAGAATCTCACTGGTTAACTCTGGATGAAAGATTTCAAGTTCAGATGGCGTGTCTTGTTTTAAAGTTAGATAGCTTTGGAATACCAGAGTACCTCTGAAAAATTGGTAAAAAATGTAGATATCCACAATCGTTTGACTAGACACTCCAATCTTTATAAGATCCCCAGGCACTCGACAGCACAATTTCAACACTCTTTTTCTTATAAAGCGGTTAAAATTTTCAATAGTATTCCTGAAAATTTAAAGACTTGCGATTCTCTGGGGACTTTTAAATCAAAATTTATTAAACATTTAAAAAAATAGGCAGTAAGATACTTAACTTAAAAAATGGATGTATGTGACACACCTCCTTGTGCTTACTAATTCTTACCTTGTGTGAATTCACCATACAATTTTAATATATGTTTTTTTGTAATTTTCTGTGCGTGCATGACCTTAGTATTGAAAATTATTGTATAATATAGATTTAAGTTAGTTATAATTCTTGTTTATATGTATTGTCAATTTATCTAAGACTATAAGTTTAGTTTTCTCTCTGTAACAAGTCAACAGAATATTTTGGTTTGAAGGTTGCGTGGAAGAGCATGGTATATGAACGCCGCCATCTTGTTGAATTTTTTGTTACACTTTTCCTTTGAATATTAATAAAGACACTATTATTATTATTATTCGTTTGCGCACGTATTTTTGTACGGTATAATATGTAAGAAACGGCGGTGATGCAAGTTTCTAACACTCTATTGGTTTGTTAAAGATTGAGGTGTCGTCTTACTATTGCTGCTGTTTGAAGAACGACAGCCTTCTGGAGTTGTATATAGAGTAACGGTGGAAGATCTAACTTTTTTAAACTATGGTGGAGAGCCTTTGGTATTACGCCCGTTGATGAAATTATAATGGGTACGATATTCACTTCGTTTTGCTTCCATAAACTTTTAACTTGTTCAGCTAGTGCGGTATATTTACTTAACTTCTCACTCCATGTAGACTGCAGATTATGGGTGTTAGGAATCCCGACATCTATAAGGTAAGTTAATGCCCTCTCTTTTTATGGTGAATGTTAGATCTGGTCGGTTATGCGGAGTTGTTTTGTCAGTAAGTATACTTCTGTTCCAGTAGAGTTTAACGTGGGCATTTTCTAACACATTTTCAGGTTCATATCTGTAATAAGGTGTAATATCTTCTTTTAAATGACAAAGGGTTGCTAACTTTTGATGAATGATTTTCGCTTCTTGGTCGTGTCTTTGGAGGTAGGAGGTTGGTGCTAGCACTCGACATCCAGCTGTCACGTGCTGGATAGTTTCACCAGGTTCATGACATCTTCGGCATTGATCTACTACATTCGGCTCTTTTAGGATGAATTTTCTGTAGTTCCTCGTAGCTATGACCTGGTCCTGGATTGATAACATAAAACCTTCGGTTTCGAGAAACAAATCCGCCTGAGATAACCATTTGTTCGACGCATCTTGATCTACATAATTTTGGTTAAAGCTCATGCGGAAATCTCCCATGCAGTACTTTTCGAGTCCACTCCTCGACTTTCTCTCGTTCGTAGATTACATCCGATGGGAGCCTGATGTCAACGGCATGTTGAAGATCTAAAGGGGTGTGTTTGTTATCTGCTCTCACTACTGCTCGGTGAAGACCTGATGCCTGGTGCAGGAAGTATTGTTGAAGACCATAGATTTGTTTGGCGTGTAGAAACCTTAAATCAATTAGACCTCTCCCACCTTTATTGCGTGGGAGGGTTAATCTCAACTGCTGCCTTTAGGATGATGCGCCCTAAATTTTGTTAGTGTAGTTCGCGTTTTGATCTGGATATTTTCAAGTTCTGTTTTCGTCCATTTTATAGTCCCAAAAAGTATATGAGATTATCAGATTGCGTAGCTGTTGATAGCCGTAAATGTGTTTTTTCCATTTAATTTAGACTTAAGTATATTCGTCAGTCTACTAATATATTATTATTTTTTTTTTTTTTTTTTTTTCACAGCTTAAAGCCGTTTTTTGGCGACTAAGTCAGGATAATTCTTATCCATTATTATTATTATTATTATTATTATACAAATTTGCCTAACAAAGAAAAAAAATACTTAACGTTTCAATTTGGAAAGTTACGTTTCCGAAAGTTTATCTCTTTCCGTCGTCGCGTGTCGTCGGAAGCAAAAAAAATACAAAGAATAAAGAAAAAACTATTTATAAAATATTTAAAAACTATTCGAGAACACTTTACTTTTTTAAAACAGATACGTCTACAAGAAACCGTTGACGTTCAAAAATAAAAAAAAATACCCATAAAGGATTTTTTTGGAGAAATTAATATTTTGAATCATGAAAAACAATTGAGGGGTTTCTGGTAAAAACCCCATTAATCAGATATTTCGAAATTTGGAAAAACTTTAAGAAAACACGTATATCTTGCTCCCATTTAAATTTAAATTGTCGTTTTTTTTTGTGTGAGCTCTGGTTATAATAATAATATTATTATTATATATTATAATATAGTAATCTGAAATTACAGAAAACTAGTTTTCTTTATTTTTTTTCTTATTTTTAAGTTAGGAAGGGCGTGAATTTGTTTAACTTGTGGGGTTTTTGCTGGAATTTTGGCAAAACCGTGGAAACAACCAAGTCCTCTTAGCAACTGTTCGAACGATTACGAACGACAAACAACTAAACCACAACAAATAGCGGACTAGTGGGGTATTTGCCGTTAAGACTATATTATATATTGTGACTTATGGGGTTCTTGCGGAATTACGTTATTTTTGATCGTATGCACGGGCTGACTTATAGAACTTTTCCCGAATTCGTTTGGTAGGAACGTTATGACTAACAAATTACTGTAGGATAGCCCCATTAACTCATTTTACCCATTTTTTTACCAATGGTTTTTTTGCCAGAAACCCCTCAATTATTGAATGCATAACAGGTAGTTAATTCTAATACTTATTTTAGTATCAGGCTTTAAAAGTGAATAATAACGAAGAGTACGATATTTCTAAACGCTTCATTTTTAATCAGGATGATTTTATATGATTTATAAACAAAAACATTGATTATTTCATAAATTCAAATTCGTTACAATTTTAAACGGTTTAATATTGATACAAGTACAAGTTTTTTGAAGTTAGACAGTACGGAATGGTTAAAGGATCCTGGATATATGAGAGATTTAGAAATTGTGAACAATTTGAGAGTAGTTAATGATACTGCAGAAGGAGCTTTTAAATTGTCAAAAGAATACATTAATATTTTATCTAGAAGTGTAGATGAAAAACAATATGTGATTCAGATTTTAAGCGAGTATAAGAAGAAATATCAACTAAAGAATATAATACCAACTAAAGAATGTTTTTCAATGGTTTAAACTTCATTAAACTTAAAGATTTCTTCATTCCCAACCTTAACACCATCAGAATTATATATTTTTACAGTAATAGATTAAATTTTTCAAAAATAATCATAATTCTGTCAAAAAAGTTGAAGAATTTAGGAATTTACCCCGTCGTTAATTTTAAACGTAAATAACTTTTGAAGGAGTAGGTTTATCGAACAATTGGAAGAGAACTTTTTTGTAGAGCGTTCAATTCTATATATAGCAGGAATATGGGATTTTCATGGCTGCAAGAGAACAAGATCGAGAGAAAAAAATATTTGCAAAAACTGGCAAATTGCCATGCAATTTAAATGGGAAACGAATAATCTTTGGGGCAAGGTTTATTGTGAATATTAAAGGTTTACAATGGTCTGTTTTTTTAGACAATATACTAAAAATTTAGAGAAATCAACTTTGTAAATAACGGACACCTTAATAATTATAAAAAGTGGAAGAAAAGACATAAGTTCAATACACTGAACTTGATTTATTTCTTCATAAAACTTTAACTAAATTGAAACTAAATGTGAATTGTGATATAATTTTCAGGAAATAGCTGACTTAAAATGGCGCTTGGACCATCTAAGACCCTTACAACCACCTCTAGAGGGAATAGCCCAAGAATACGGAATCAATTCGAACTTGGTAAAAGAAATAGTGGAATTTTGGAGAACGAAATATAACTGGAAAGAACGCGAAGAAGTATTTAACCAATACCCTCAATTCAAGACCAACATACAAGGTTTGGACATTCACTACCTTCATGTTAAACCCGCAAATCCAGGCCAGAAAAAAGTTGTACCTCTGCTGCTAGTCCATGGCTGGCCAGGATCTATCAGAGAGTTCTATTACGTTATTCCTACTTTTACTAAAGTTAGTGAGGAGAGAGGTTTTGTTTTTGAAGTTATCGCTCCTTCTATACCTGGATATGGATTCTCTCAAGCAGCTTCTAAGCCTGGACTTGGTGCTGCTCAGATAGCAGTTGTAATGAATAATTTGATGCAGCGAATTGGGCATAAGAAGTTTTATTGTCAAGGTAAAATATATTTCCCTTCTCTCTCTAATTTAAATGATAATACCTATACCGGATGCGCTTCAAAAGTGGCTCACAACTATGACTGTTTTATTTTTTTCAGATAAAAAAACGAGATTTGGTATGTTAGTATATGACATAAATTAGGATTGATTGACGTATTCAATTGTTTTCAGTCACTTCCTGTTTCACAGGAAATCATTACAACTTTTGGTTTTTAAATGGCACCCTCTGTTATTTTTTTTACTAAATTCGATTGAAAATTACACTATGGATCGAATGGCATATCATATGTATGTTAACTTTTGACATTTTTGCTCAAAAACAAATTGTACTTTTAATTTCAATCTGGAGTGCTTTGGCTGTGTTAAAAACACAAATATTTAATCAAGGAGTCTTGGAAATATAGATTTGATCGTCTAATGTTTTTAGTGTCTTGTCCTGACCGGTTGAAAGATGCCCAAATCGTATTTTTAATCATATCTTAATTTTTTGAATGGAACAAGGGTGGTTTATTAGCATTTTTGGAAAAAGCATTTTTTTACGAATAATTTTATACCATACATTTGGTATTTCGAGTCAAATTGTCATTATGAACCGCAGGTTACAATTTAAGATAAACCATATGCGAAAATGTCAAAAGTTTACATATATGATATGTCATTTTATTTAGAGTGTCATTTTCTATCGAATAATGTAAAAAAATATCGAGGGTGTGCCATTTATAAATCAAAAGTTGTAGTCATTTCCAGTGAAACAGAAAGCGACCGAAAACAATTGAATACGTCAATACGTAATCCTAATTTATGTTATATACTAGCATACCAAATCTGTTTTTTTTTATCTGAAAAATAAAGGTTTTAAAAGTTACAGGGGTGAGCCACTTTTGAGACGCATCCGGTATACAGGGTGTTTCAAAAAACATGTGCCTCTCTCGTGGGGAATATAAACAAGATTTATTTTTCATATCAACATAGGTCCTATTCTGCCTTGTTTCGTAACTACAGGGTGTTAAAATCTTAATTATCTTTCCATTTATTATAATATTCTTTTAAGTACTTTTATTGATTCGAATGAAATTTTGAGCGTAAAAGTTACTATAAATGCGACATATTTTAAAGCTAAATAAGTGTCGACACAGTCACCAGGGACGTGCATATGGGTTTTCACTGGAATATTTTTCTAAAAAAAACATGTACGCCACATATTTTCGCCATATTATTAATTCGTTAATATTACGCCATTTTCTTTTGATATCAAAATCGTGTAGGCCGTTTAATGCTAATTAAAAGTTGTCTCTTGATATTTTGTCGATTTCGGCCTCATTGATGAGATAAACGCAATTTTATTAATTTGCCTTGATCCAAGTCTAATAGCAACATTTAAAAAAATTTAATATCATCAACTTGCGAAAGTTTTAAATAAGTACTCATTGATTCCTCATCAAAAAATTTGAAAAAACGTTCATGGGTATGGAAATGCATAGTTTTAGAGTTACAGGATGTTAAAACTTAATAATAACTAATAGTATTTTATAATAAATTAGGTAAAATCTATACTAATATATAGAATCCTTAAGTGACT